CCTACTCATTTCCGGCAACTTCTCACCTCCCCAGGAGTTGATCTGAACTCCCCATCACCAGAGCTTTCCATCGGTACCATCGGTACCTTCGGATCCCATTTCCGCCACCGTTTTTTGGAAGACCCACTGGAAAATTAACGTTTTTCGGCGAGTGTGGCTGTTCGTATTCTGGGCTGTCCGTTGGTCATTTTTGCCCCTTCTTTGCATCATATCACTGTCGGTTACCTCCTCTCCGCCATGGTCAGTTTCGTTTCCACTGTTTCAGCCTCCGTCATCACCACCATGAGCGGCTAAGTTCCCGGTTGTCTGTTACGGCATAGGCTAGATCGAGATTCACTCCACGACTCTCCTCATCAGCTCTCGACTAGTATGATGAGCCCGATTATAGGACATTTGGTAGTATTATGCTTCGGATTATATTTGTTTTCGTTTCATGTTTGATTTCGATACTTTAATATGATTTGGACATAACTTGTGATGAATATTGTTGTCCATTATGATTTAATGTTTTCATAGAACTTGCTGAATGATAAACGTTGGTTTGAAATAATTAAGTGATTAATATTGCTTTTCATTACTTCGCATCGATTGTAATTGAGTTGTGTTCGGATTTAATTTAATTTCTACTATTGTTGCGTTTATTGTGAAGTTGGTTGATTGGATTATACGTGTTGACAAATTGTATTTGTTAATCACGTACCAACTAGTGGTTTTGCATTGTAGCGTTTATCGGCGTTCAATGATAGTCTTTAACCAATCGAACTTGAGTGATCGGGTGAGACAGGATAGATTATACCTAGAGTGTCGGGAAGCCATTTCATTGATTTACCTTGCCTTGTAGGTTTAGGGGATCGTAGAGGGTGGAGAAGAATTGTGTGAGTCGGTCTCGTGTCGAACCAAAACCGTAACAGCAACATTTTTATTATAAAGTCTGTATTCGTTTTAATTTCACTTTTTCATTATTTGCATTTAGTCTATTTAGTTTCATAAATCATTTTACCAATTTCTCTTTCGTTAACTCAAATATACATTAGGTCATTAGTCTTGCTCTCTATGGATTCGACCCTGCTTACCGCTAACTATGGTATTTAGGTTTAATTTTGTAACTGTGACGACTAGTTCAACAGTAACCTAGCTCGGGTGAAGTGCCTCTTGAATAGACCCATTCAAGAGGAGCTTATCCACCTCAATTTTTAGGGCAGCATAGAGTTCAAGGTCTATTGCTTTTCTTTTCTGGCGAACCGGCTTAACCGCACTGTCAATGTTTAGTGCATGACATATTACGTTCGGGCTGATCCTAACCATATCGGCGTGAGTCCATGCAAAAATATCGACATTCTTATTAAGGAAGCTCGTTAGGCTTTCGGAGAGCTAGGGGTTGAGATCACTCCTTATTCTTAATACTTTGGTCGGCTCGTTTTCATTGATTGATACCTTTGATAGGTCCTCAACTGGCCCACTGTAAGGGCACTCCTGGATGCGAGAATCCACGTTGTCCTCTACTAGTCTAGGCTGTGGCTCGATTCTTCTTATTGCCATGGTCTGCTTGGGGATGCCCAATAGTTTTCCCTTTCCCTCACACACCATCTGGACTGCCCTTATGTAGCAATCGTGAGATTCATGTTGGGATCCTTATACTTTCTCGATCCACGTGAAGGTGGGGAATTTCATCTTCAGACGGTAGATAGAGGTGACAACCTTGAAATTCCGTAGCAGATGTCGTCCCAGGATGCCATTGAAGAGGGACGGATAATCTACCACCAAGAACTCCATCATCTTGATCATTTCGTTGGTTTCACCCAACATGACGGGGAGTGCAATCATTCCCTTAGGAATTAGATGATCCCCGGTAAAACCATAGAGGGGGAAGGAGGCAGGCTTTAGGTCTGCCTCGTCCAATTGCATTCTTTCGAAGGCTTGCTGAAACAGGATATTCACGGCGCTTCCATTGTCCACCAACATTCTGTGGACTTCACATCGGCCTATTTCAGGCGCGATGACGAGTGCATCATCGTGGGGGTGATGTAATCATACTGCATCTTGTTTCAAAGGAGGTAATTTCTTCTTCCTTGCGGATCTTAGCGGGTCGCGGCACTGTGCTCATTACACTTAAAGGGTCTTGGCGAGCTTCTTGAGCATACGTTTCCTAGGCACCTCGAGAGTTCCCCTCGAGGTGTGGCCCCCCGAAAATGATCCCTATGCAGTGGAGCCCCTTGCGACCATGACGCTTCTTCCTTTGTTCCTCTTGATCCTTTTCTCAAACAGGAGTCAGACTATCAACATACTCCTTGAAGTGCCCCTGTTTGATGAGGTATTCAATTGCTTGCTTGAGAGCCCGACACTCATCAGTGTGATGCCCATTGTCCCGATGATAGCAGTAGTACTTTTTGCTATTCCTGGCTGAGGGGGGATTCTTCATGGGCTCTGGTTCTCCAAGCAGACTGGCCTCCTCTGATTTATCCAGAATTGCCGATACTAAGGCATTCAAATGAGTGTATTGATTTTTGTCGCGATCGCGGCGAGGAACTGGGGCATAAGACTTTTTGGGCTCAAATTACTACTTCTTTCCTTTCCACTAATCGTCATTAGCCTAACTGCGATCATCCCTTCTACTGTTCTCCCCCCAGTTGGGAACACTAGTTAAAGGACCGGGGTTATGGCGATTGAGAGCAACCATAGAATTTTCTATTCGGAGATACTTCTCGGTGAGGTCATAGAAGCGAGTGAGGGAAATGTCATCCTCAGATTGTAACTCTTTCCATAAGTCAGTCTGCGAGCGTACTCCTACGATAATGAGAGTCCTAACGGACTCTTTAGGAGTGTAAGCTTCTTTTTGGAGTTCCCGGTGAAATCTATCTATATAAGATTGGAGGGACTCATTCCTCTCTTGTCGTATATTGCTCAGATAGCTTAATGGCATTAAGAACTTCCTGTTTGCCTGAAAGTGCCTCAAGAATAACGAGCTCATTTATTGCCATGAGCTTATTGATCCCACGGAGAGCGACCTGAATCAGTGCTTGACATGGGCGGTTAGTGTCACTGCTAAGCAGCGGCATTTGGCCAAGTCAGAGACTTGGTAGAGTTCCATAAGGTCATTGAACTTGTAGAGGTGGTCCTGCGGATCAGAATTCCCATCGAATGCCTGCATTCGGGCGTCCTGAATCTCGATGGGTGAAGAGCAACTAGTATTATTGGAGAAAAGGGAGACGCCTCAGTAACCTTCCCCTGTTCATTTTGCTGAGCCTTGAGCTGATCTAATTTTGCCGCAACTCTTCAATCCGAGATAGTGAAGTTATCGAGGGGTTACTTTCCGCAACATGGGTTCGACTCTCACGGTTGTGATTGAGGAAAGACCAAAGGTCGGGCCCTTCCTTTGCTTGGTCGGAGGCTTCAGCATACCTTAACACATGCTGGCTAGAGCCGTGTGAGGGTAGCAAAAGGCTCCGGGAGTTTTCCCAACCTCCGCGGTGGTCAGAACCGACCCACGGATGGTGGGGGTTACCTCAACGGCAATGGTCGGGACCATTATTTTGATGAGGCTGGGAATCTCCCCTCCTTGCACTTTTATGGGTGTGCCCATATGACATGGCGTGGGATGGCTCATGCTGCAACATGTCACAAAGTTGCAATACCACGGGTATTCTACCCGTTGCGAGACCGGTGTTCGCTAGTCCCTTGGAGCCCTTTGGCCCACTGCTCACCACTTGTTTCCTCTTACTCTTATGTGCTACAGTGCGTGCGATACGAGCCTTTGCCATTTTCTGCGCTTTCGCGCAACCTGCAGGCGTCTTTGGCAGCGACATCGCCTCGTTAGACTCCGGTGGTACGACTCGGTCCAAACGGTCTAACCTCTGGCTAACCGTTTGGAGAGTATTGTTGAACCTCTCCAGGTAATTCATCATGGCCGGGTCGAGTTGTGAGCTGGAAGGAATATCCTCCATGATACTCTGCTAGACTGACGACACTTTAGGAGAAGTGTCATTCTGTACCTGGGGGATTTTCTCATTGTCGACATCAGTTCGCTTCGTTTCGAAACCACGAGCCATTTGTTGGTGGATAGGATTGGTCAGAGGTTTTTGATGAAAAGTGGATACTAAATCAGGCTCTCCTTCTAGCGTCAAACCGTTGATGCTTGATTTTGACACCAACTACTCACACGTATGAAGTGCTATGCGGACTTAGAAATCACACGTGGTATGGAAGTATAAAAAAAGATATTGAACGGTTAGCACTTTTTTAAGTGGTTCAGATGCTTTGAGGAGAATCCTACGTCCACTGTAATTATATTAATGGGCGATTACAATCAGGTCGCACTCAGTGAGTTGGATTACAATAGAGAGAATAAATGTAGAGAGAGAGAGAGAGAGAGAGTATATGTTTTTGGCGGTGGATGAACCAACCTCGTAAAATAGAGGAGAGCCCTCTATTTATAGTTGGAGGATTCAAGCTGGTAATCATGACTCTGCGTGCAGGTAGGTGTGATACAATTTCTAATCCGCTTCCCATTGGTGTATGCACAAGAGATATCCTTAAATCGAATGGGGCTTCAACAGGTGGACAATTTCTAACCACTCATAAGTCTGACGTTTACTTGCCTCACTGACAATAGCCTTACCCCTTTTGTCCTTGCGGGACGTGGCTGCATCAAGACGACAAAAAACCTTCTTGAATTCTGATTAGTCCTTACTGATTTAAGCTCAAGTCAACCCTGGTTTTTTGGGCATAACAGTTTTCATCCATGCAGTCCACTGCTTTCAAGTCATGGGTCCACTGCCTTCATCATGCATAACGTGGAACAGCATTAACTAAATGGGAACTTTCTCAATTTCTAGTTTTTACTTTTCACAAGAAAAATGTAGTTGATGTTGATATTTAGTTGAAGGTCAAACCTACTAAACAAATTTTGTTAAACGTAGTACTAAATCTATTTCGTTACTATAAACTTCCAAGATTAAAAAAAAAAAGTCTAAAGCAAACTTTCCTGGAATTCTTCAAGGAAAATGGAACCGGCGGCAACTTCATCTATACGGAGTCTTCTCTACATAATGCTTCTGTTGTACTCTAGCCTTCTTATTGCTACAGCAACCTCTCAGGGTGATGAGTCCAGGCAAGCTAATAACAAACATGTTGCTGTCTTTGTGTTTGGAGATTCGCTCTTCGATCCAGGAAACAATAACTATCTCTATGTTAGCATTGAAGGCAAGGCGAATTTTACACCATATGGAGAGAGTTTGTTCGAATATCCGACTGGAAGATTCTGCGATGGCCGTACCGTCCCTGACTTTGCTGGTATGGTTGCTAGCTAGTGAATTACGATTATGTCGATCCATCTCAAATTGTGTTGTTTCATTAAATAATGCAGCAACGTACTTAAATTTACCGCTTTGGGAACCATACTTACAACCTGGAAGTCATAATTTTAGCAAGGGAGCTAATTTTGCAAGTGCTGGAGCTGGTGTTCTTGAAGAAAGTAGTCCAGATAGGGTATGTACAGCATTCTAGTCAAATGAATTACTATTATTGAGGCAAAATTTATCTTGACAATGCTTTCAATTTTTATAGCTTTACAGCCAAAAACAGCTAAAGTATTTTAATGAGGTGGCCAATTTACTGAAGCAGCAACTCTGTGATGCAGAGGCCAAAAAGATACTAGCCGATGCAATCTATTTGTCTAGCTTTGGAGGCGTTGATTACATGACTTTCATCAGAAGTATTTCTAATCCTACCGAATTACAACAACGGGAACATGTAAACAAGGTGATTGGAAATTTTACAGATGTGATTAAGGTAAAATTCTGTTCAGCAAACTTCTATTATTGAGGTTTTCCCATGTTAATCTTCTTTATATTTATTTTTCTATTTTTTATGAAGGAAATATATGAAATGGGAGGGAGGAAATTTGCATTTCAGAATGTGGGACCTTTGGGATGCACACTACGAATGAAACAAGAGTACGATCTTAGTGGTGGTGCTTGTGTAGAAGTGCTCCAAGAAATCGCTAGTCTTCACAATAGTCTTCTGTCTAATGTCACTACGAAGTTGCAAAGCCAATTATCAGGATTCGATTACGTAATTTTTGATTTCTTCAATTCACTTAAGGATATGATAAATTATCCTACAAAATATGGTATGTTATATATAGGTCATTATTTTTTTTTTCTTTTAAATGCTCAAACGTAATCTAGCTCTTACTCTTAACTTTTGCTGTAAAACATGTCTATTGTAGGTTTCAATGTGTCAGAAATTGCATGTTGTGGCATCGGTTCACGCCGGGGTTTCGAATGTGGAAGAGTAAAACAATATGAACTGTGTAGTGGTCCTAATGAGTATGTGTTTTTCGATGGAGGCCATCAATCTGAACATGCTAATTCTATATTATCCAACTTCTTGTGGAATGGAGGATCAGATTTTACATGGCCTATTAGCATGAAGCAACTTTATGAACTCAATTCCACCATTCCCATTGAGATTTTATCTGAAGATAAACTTTTGTTTTCCATGTAACCCATCAAGTTAAATTGGGTAGACTGCAGCCACGTATCTTATGCTTAGTCAATAATTTACTATAATTTATATCAAGGGATATTTTTTAGAGAGATAAGAAAGTACACATTCAATTTATGGCCTATAGATTCTGTAAGTTTATGGTGCTAACTCCATTACTATGTGGGATTGTTAGCTGGCAACTTGTGGGCATAAATATCCCTTGATATATGTATTGTCACTTCCAACTAGATAATTGAAGGTCAAACCTACTAAACAACGTAGACTAACTTTTTATATAATATCTAATGAGTATCTAATTAGGGTGTTTAAGATTCTAAGATATATTTTAAGTTATAATAAATTAAATATATTAGATATACTTTCAGTTGTCTATTTTAAATCATTAAGATAGTTCATAGGTTAATTACTTTCTTTAATTGTAATGGATCTGCGATCGCATAGTAAAATAAAAACTACAGTTAAAGAAGAGTTTTAGAATTCAGAGCAGTGTTTCAAAACCCGGCCCGGCCTGACCGGTTCAACCTAGACTCGGGGCTTTCACCAGGCCGAATTACCCATTTCACTATTTACTGAAAACCCTAGAAATTTAGATGATGATTGGCGAACAATTGAAAGCTGAGATATTGGGGCTTTTGGAGAGAAAGTGGTGGTGAGTTCAATGGTGGCAACAAAGTTAATTTCTGGTAAGTGAATCGATTGGAAATCGAAATAAAAGGCGGCAGCAACAACTGACTATTGCTAGCGAGGTTAATGGGGGTGGGGTGAGGTGGGTTTTCATTAGGAGGCTAAGGGGAGTTTTTTCGTGGTGATGGGAACGATTGTCGATGCCAACGGTGGTGAGATCTGGCCTAGAAGGTCGACGTTGGCGTTGGTAAGATCTGGTCGAAATCGAACTGATTTTGACCAGATCTTGGGTAGATTTTATGGAGAATGGGCTCAAGAGATGATTGAGATTGCATTTGATGTATCGCCGCCACCAACCATTCAACCGCCAATTGTATTCAGGGTGTGTTTGCTAAATTTCAAATCTGTATGAAATGAACTTAATTTTTAGGGGTGTATTTGCTGAATTTTAAAATTTTTGTCACCTAGTTTGACTGGCTAGTCAAACCTATTAATTGGTCAACCCGGGACCTGACAACGTAGTCGGGTTTCACCCCGGATTGGTTATTAAAACATTGATTAAGATTAACATGAGAAAGATATGAATTTAAAAGATATAAGTTAAGAGTACCGTATGATACATATCAAAATTAGATGATTTATTATATTCCTATAGGATTTATTTAGTAGCTAGATCAACTAAACAGATCATTGTAATGATCATATGCAGAAATAATCTAAGTGGGTTACAAGCTGTAAAAAGAATTATGGAAGCTCAAACAATTGCTTCACATTGTAAGGCCCTGTTACATTTGCTACTCAGCTCAAAATCAGCTCGGCTTATTGGCTGTTCGTCTGTTGTGTAGTGTGGCCACCATTGAAGAAAACATACTACGGTTTGAGTAGAGAGTATAAGTATTTTTTCCACTGAATCCTCCTCCACAAACTGGTCCATTGAATTGTCCACTGCCACAACATGCTTTAGTCCCTGCTTTAAAACTTTCCTGACATGGTCATAAAAAATTAATTAGTTCAGTAAATGTAGTGAAAGACGTAAATTGAGAGAAAATTAAAAGAAATTAAAGCTTCAATTTGTGTATTTGATTGAATGAGTGAATAATACAGTAAGGGTTCGCTACTTAAGTAAGTCAGTACGTAGCTGAGAGAGTGTGAAGAGAAAAAGGAAAGTGAAAATACAGAGACATTCGTTCTCTTTAAGAGAGCAACAAAAACGACAGCGTTTTTTTGTTTTTACTTAGCTAAATACTAGCTAAGCCCTTATCTTCTGAATTCTGACACTTTAATCCACATGCCCACTCAAATCTAACTCCCTAGTCCAGGTTTCCAAATCCTAGAATTTTAATCCACATACTCAAAACGAATTGCCTCCAAAACAAAAACTAAATTCAGAGAAAATTAAAAGAAATTAAAGCTTCAATTTGTGTATTTGATTTAATGAGTGAATAATACAGTAAGGGTTTGCTACTTAAGTAAGTCAGTAGCTGAGAGAGTGTGAAAAAGGAAAGTGAAAATACAGAGACATTCGTTCTCTTTAAGAGAGTAACAAAAAACGACAGTGTTTTTTTGTTTTTACTTAGCTAAATGTTCGCTAAGCCCTTATCTTCTGAATTCTGACACTTTAATTCACAAATGTTACTTGTACTAATTAGGACGTTCAATTTTTATATTGGCTAATTATATATGACATACCATATTTTGAAGCATTGTTAATTAATTCTATCGAGAGTAATGCTCGTAACGTGATAAAGTACATAACATGTAAATCTCCATTTACACCCCATAAAATGCATAGAAAATTCTCCGCCGCGGCATGATTTTATGTAAATTTCTACTATAACCATATCATGCATACCAAAGACAGTTTCCAGAAGATGAATATAAGTATATCAAAGCTGAAATAAATTCGAAGTTAAGGCATTTATGCACAATTATAGAAATCACATTTCACTAAAAACATGATTTTATGCAAATTTCTAACATTCCACTCACCAAATCAAGCTATAATTTTAATGGGGTATCTTAGACACATATATGTTGATCCAGTAAGCCATTTCAGAATAAAAAACTACTTAGATTTTCTTTTAACCTCTCAAAACTGTCAAACTGTTTTCCAGAATTGAGGTTGCTGAAATTTAAAATTCATATTAATTCACCCTTAACTTGAAAAATCCTGAAACTTTCCAGAAACAAACAAGACACCATAAGAATTTATCAGAATTTAAAATCACTCATTTTGGATGAGTATAAGTATATTAAATCAGTTCATGAAAATGCATGCTCTGCAGAAAACATAAATTCCAGGATTACATGGCAGACTTCAAAAATTCATAAAAAATTCAATACTTCGAATTTTTGGGTGAAATAAATTTTCAAACAATCCTCAAGAAGTCTAAAACAAAATATCTGAAATTTAGCTTCAATTGCAAACCCAAAACATATATAGGATGTTCGAAAGTTTAGGATAGAAATGTATGCATGAAAACCAATTCTCCAAATTCTTCTTCTCGGCTCATTCCCTCAACCACTCAAGTGGTTCATCTTTCATTTTTTGTAAAAAAAAAAAAAAAAAAAAAAAAAAAAAAAAAAAGAACTAAAATGGTTTTATATAGTGCCCGGGAAGTTCACTTGAGGCCAAAGTCCCTGCTGGCAAATTTCTGAAAAGTTCCTCATCTTTGATACTTCTCAACTTGCCCCTTGGAAATTCTACACCTTCTTTGCACTCAAGTCCTCTTGCCAAATCACTTAGCAGTCCTACTGATTCTTATATCCTTACCAAAACACCCTGGAAAGTTTCAATTTCTTACAAATCACCGCCCAAAATCAATAAAATAGACTTTAATAAAATCCCATAAAATACGAGGTATTACAATATAATGATATATTAATTCCCCACTATAGAATAGACTGAAAACTCTTTTGTTGTGAAGTTTGGTACAAAAAAAAAAAAATCTCTTAGATGCGGACCTTTGACAATTCAAGAAAATTCTCATGTAGGTCAGAATTTTTCTAATTTTCAATAAGAAAAAAGTTTGATGACTGTTTATATGGACTTCATCTAGATCTAATGCTGACCTCTACAGAAAAGATAGATGTATTCATAAAACAATTTATACAAAATGTGGCACACATTTACATGGTGTATAATTGTACCTTGCTATCTCCTTCTCAAGGTAGAAAATTGACGCATGTCCTTCCCAACTTTCAAGATTTTTAGTTGTGGGCAACTATATGCATACAAATTTTGTTAATTAGTTGATAATATTTCCAAGATAAAAAAAAATAATAAAAAAAAAAGGTTAAAAGCTAACTTTCGTGGAATAGAATTCTTAAAGGAAAATGGAATCGGCGGCAGCTTGATCTATACGGAGTCTTCTCTACATAGTGTTTCTGTTGTACTCTAGCCTTCTTATTGCTCCAGCAAGCTCTCAGTGCGATGAGTCTAGGCAAGTTAATAACAAACATGTTGCTGTCTTTGTGTTTGGAGATTCGCTTTTTGATCCAGGAAACAATAACTATCCCTATGTTAGCATTGAAGCCAAGGCAAATTTTACACCATATGGAGAGAGTTTTTTCGAATATCCGACTGGAAGATTCCGCGATGGCCGAACCGTCCCTGACTTTGCTAGTATGGTAGCTAGCTAGTAGCTAGTGAATTATGATTACGATTATGTCGATCCGTCTCAGAATTAATTGTGTTGTTTAGTTAAATAATGCAGCAATGTACTCAAATTTACCACTCTGGGAACCATACATACAACCTAGTGACAGGCTATTTGTAAGTATACGAAATCGTGCAAGTAATAAAGCTCGAGTAAACGAATGTCGAATCCCAAGGGAACTACCTACCAAGTACCAAACTATTATATCCTATTGCTATTTGATAAAACAAAATTTTAAGAGAAGCGTTAATGACAACGTAATAAACTAAAAACTAAATAAATGCATAATTTGTTAAAGCTTTGATGTAAAGATCAATATGACTAAACCTAGGGCATAGATTTCGCACCAATTTACTCCTATGCATTGACATTTGATGTTAACCTAATTAAGCGTATTCTAAAGGCCAAATCCCCTAATATTCCACTAACTCTCTCTCGAGCAATTAGCAAATTAACATTTAAGCAACAACCCAAGATATCTCTAAGTTGGATTTAGGTGCTAAAAGATCATTAAGTTCTGTGGAATTTACCGAAGCCTCACAGATCGCGGTAACCTATCTCTAGCGTTCGCTAAAGCTATGGTTTTATTACCTAAGATAAATTAGGTTTCATCTCTCGATCTCAACCCAACCCATGATATCATTCAACTCTTGGGCCCTTAAGACTTGAAAGCATTACACACGATAATAAAACTTAGAAATCATGCTCAATATTAGATCAATAATAATGTCAACACATGTTCATAAATTGGGCTACATCTGTAGCCCTAGAAAAGAGAATTAGTCCATAATGAAAATAACAAAATCCATCATTCTGTTCAATGACATCAGTTCAAGAAAGAAAAAGATAAAAACTTCTCTAATCGGTGAACGAGAGCTCTCAGGATCCCGATCTCTAACTTGATAGCCGTCTTCTTCCTCCTCCAAAAGTCCTCTTTAATTTCTTAAAAACTCTCTTTTATATCCTTGGGGTTCTTGGTCGTGCTTAGGAAACAGATTAGAAAACTTAGCCCATTCAGATTCGTATTAGGGTAATGAATTAACACAAACTCATGACCCATCGCAGCGGCGGTAAGAATGGTCACCGCGGCGATCGTTCTTTCTGTCCAAAGCATCTGTAAACTTCAGCATTAGATGAAGTCTTCAACACAAACATTGTAGCTCTCTAAATAAGCTTTCCAACGCCACCAGAATCGTCAAATTCTGACTTCTACAGCTCAAGTTATGACAGAAATATCAAGGCATACTCATGATGAAGAATTTTCAGATTTTTCGTAACATCTTCGACGTGCCACAACTCCCTCATTTCGACCCTGATTCTTGTGCCGTTTGTTCCTAAGCGTTGTGAATCCTATCGACATCATTCTTTTCCCTTCAACAACCTGTTTGAGCTTGAAAACACTCAACATGCACCTGTGATCCCATAAATGGTATTTATGAAAGAAATAATCCAAATTCAACACTTTAAACACATTTTTCCATAAATAAACCAATTAAATCACTAACAAAATATGAACATTCAAGCTCTTACCACTAGGGGTGTTCAAAAAAATGCAAAAACCGAACCGAACCGAAAAACCGGTTAACCGAAAAAACGGTTCGGTTACGGTTCGAAAAATTCAAAAAACCGAATTTCCGGTTTGGTTAACGGTTCGAGAAAAAATACAAAGCGGTTAACCGAAACCGGTTTTTTGAACCGGTTTTACAAAATATATATATATTAAATAAAAATAAATATTATATATTAAATAAAAAATAATAATATTATATATTATATATTAAATAAAAATAAAAAATAATAATATTTTTAATGTATCGTTAGTAGTAGTCAATGAATATATATGAATGTCTAATTTTTATTTGGATATGTATTATTTATATTTACAATTTAATTTAAGAAAAAATAAAAAAAATAAGTTTTATAAAAAAAAAGGAAAACCGGTTCAAAACCGGTTAACCGCTTTAAAAAAAGTGGTTAACCGGTTTTTCGGTTAACCGAAAAACCGGTTTTCCCTCTAAACCGGTTCGGTTTCGGTTTGGGAATTTTCCCAAACCGAAAAACCGGTTCGGTTCAAAAAAGCGGTTAACCGGTTCGGTTAACCGCTTTTGAACACCCCTACTTACCACAACCCTCAACCAGCTTTTTGCTAGTCCCTAGCAAAATAAGCGATAAAATAAGTCTCTAAGCTCGACAAGAAAATAACTAATTAAAAACCTAAATCTAAACTATCCTAAATCACTTTCGTAGATTGACACGATTGCATTTAGCGCATGCAACAAGCCTTTAAACCCCTAGGTGGCCCTAGTTGGACGAATTGTAGTCTCGTGAGGGTTTCCAGCGATGTTACCCACAAACATCCACACTAAACGTATCCTAAACTCCAAAAGTAACAAAAACATAACCATTAAAAAAAAAAAAAAAAAAAACACATTAACAAAAAGTCTTGGATCAATTCATAAAGACGTCTCAAAAATTGCATATACACAAAACAAATATATTAATTAAAAATCACCTAAACTCACAGACAATGCAAACATCAATTTCATTTTCGTTATCAACCCTAGAACATCCATACATCCACAAACCATTAGTCTACAAACTCGGATGGTGTTATGCACAACATTCATGAACAAAATTTTTGGTCTTAGTATTCGGGTTATGACTTATATGCGAATCATGGAATCAAACTCCATAGGCTCACTTTTCACATCACTCTCCACTAATGTAGAATTTCACATCACCTTGGATCAATAGGTCTTTGTAAAGGTTGTAACATTAGGCTGGGGTATGAGTTCATGAAAGAACGGAAAGAGAAATTAACAACAATTACATTAAGAGACTAAATTTTCATTCACTCTTATTACTCTCATACACAACACTTCTCTTTTTCACTCGGTAGCTTCCCAGTCCTTATTGAGCTCTTTCTTTTTGACAGTGATAACCACTCAATTTCATAATTCCCAATCTTCACAATGCTTTTTCAATGCCTAATTTTTTTTTTTTTTTNCTGTCTTCTTCCTCCTCCAAAAGTCCTCTTTAATTTCTTAAAAACTCTCTTTTATATCCCTGGGGTTCTTGGTCGTACTTAGGAAAAATACTAGAAAACTTAACCCATTCAGATTCGGATTAGGGTAATGAATTAACACAAACTCGTGACCTATATCCGCGGCGGTAAGAATGGTCACTGCAGTGATCGTTCCTTCTGTCCAAAGCATATGTAAACTTCAGAATTAGATGAAGTCATCAACAAAAACACTGTAGCTATCTAAATAAGCTTTCCAAGGCCACCAGAATCATCAAATTCTGACTTCTACAGCTCAAGTTATGATAGAAACATCGAGGCATACTCATGATGAAGAATTGCCAGATTTTCCGTAACATCTTCGACGTACCACAACTCCCTCATTTTGACCCTGATTCTTGTGCCGTTTGTTCCTACGTGTCGTGAATCCTATCGACATCATTCCCTTCAACAACCTGTTTGAGCCTGAAAACACTCAACATGCACCCATGATCCCATAAATGGTATTTATGAAAGAAATAATCCAAAAATTCCATCTTTAAACACATTTTTCCATAAATAAACCAATTAAATCACTAACAAAATATAAACATTCAAGCTCTTATCACAACCCTCGACCAGCTTTTTGCTAGTCCCTAGCAAAACAAGTGATAAAATAAGTCTCTAAGCTTGACAAGAAAACAACTAATTAAAAACCTAAATCTAAACTATCCTAAATCACTTTCGTAGATTGACACGATTGCATTTAGCGTATGCAACAAGTCTTTAAACCCCTAAGTGGCCCTAGTTGGACGAGTTGTAGTCTCGTGAGGGTTTCCAGCGTGATACCCACAAACATCCATACTAAATGTATCCTAAACTCCAAAAGTAACAAAAACATAACCATAAAAACAAACACATTAACAAAAGAAAGTCTTGGAACAATTCATAAAGACGTCTCAAAAATTGCATATACACGAAACAAATAGATTAATTAAAAATCACCTAAACTCACAGACAATGCAAACATCAATTTCATTTTCGTTATCAACCCTAGAACATCCATACATCCACAAACCATTAGTCTACAAACTCGGATGGTGTTATGCACAACATTCATGAACAAAATTTTTTATCTCAGTATTCGGGTTATGACTTATATGCGAATCATGGAATCAAACTCCATAGGCTCACTTTTCACATCACTCTCCACTAATGTAGAATTTTACATCACCTTGGATCAATAGGTCTTTGTAAAGGTTGTAACGTTAGGCTGGGGTATGAGTTCATCAAAGAACGGAAAGAGAAATTAACAACAATTACATTAAGAACTAAATTTTCATTCACTCTTATTACATAACACTACTCTTTTTCAGTTGGTCGCTTCCCAGTCCTTATTGAGCTCTTTCTTTTTGACAGTGATAACCACTCAATTTCATAATTCCCAATCTTCACAATGCTTTTTCAATGCCTAAGTTTTTTTTTTTTTTTTTAAATTTATAAAATAAGAAGGCAGAAATATGCACATCCCCACTTATCTTACAAATACCTCACAACCCCCAACCAAGTTCTTCGCACACGTGGGTTGTGACAACCACACTTCCTTACCAAAACTCGTAATAAGCTTGAAGAACAATAAAGTCTCTTAAGGTTAACATAGGTAGGATTGTATTTTAGGCTCATAATCAGGATAAGGTAAAAATTAAGTTCAAAGGAAAGAAAAACAAGGCTAAATTGTGTTTAAAAGGCCCAAAGGGCTAACTAGTGACAACAATAACAAGGGTTAGCTTGAAAGGCTCAATCGGTCCAAAAACAGCCTAAATCATTTCCTAAGTGATGTGAATTCTAGGATTTCGCCTTGAGTGATTATCAAATGAGTTCTAGAGTTTGTTGAGATCACAATAAAATTCATGAAAACTTCATACATAACATGTCTCTAAGTAAGTGACTGAACCACTTTTAATCCATAGTTCACTAGGGTC